GTCTGAGAGTAGGCTCAACTCAGAGATGTGGCCTATTAGTAGAGGGTAACCCGATACTACAACTCTTGAGTGAAGGAGAGACACTTTAAAGAAAGTGACCTCATCCTCAAGAAGGTCACAATGCTCGGGCCCAATGTTGGAAAGATTGGCCCTAAGTGGGAAGAAACCCCGGGGACCTCGGCCACGGTATCGGCCAACGACTTCGGCCCACTACCTAGCGAACAAACACACTAGAGAACGGATAAGTTACTTCACCAAGACAGGAAACACCCATGACCTCGGCCAGGCACATCCCCAGGGCCTCGGCTGCACGTAGGCCGACACCGTGTCTTGTACGGGTGTGTATACATCAACAGCAAAGCAGCACGTCCCCATTCATGCACTCAAGACAGCAAAGCACCATAAGCATGTACAATGTTACGGTTTGGTGTGATTTCTAATACGATGTGGGGACTTTGGACCATTTTATGGTTCTTTTGGGCTTAACCCAATTAGAAAGCCCAAATAGCTTCCCTAAAAACTAAAACTTGAAATTTTTATTTATTATTTTATTATAAAATAAAGAGTTTATTATATATTTATAATTTTATGCATTCCATTTAAATATATTATACATAATGTTTATATATCATATATTCATATTATATATATGTATATAAAATTTTGATTTACGGTTTACGGTTTGATTCAATTTATAAAATTCAATAAAATAAACTAAAACCATAAATCACAATTTTAGAAAATTCTCAAACCAAACCAAATATAAATCAAACCAAACCATAAATCCAGTTTAATTCTATTCGATTTTAATTTGAACCGTATAATAAACACCACAATCAATTGATGGGAGCTACTACCCCGAAAGGCAGCAGTTGTCAAAGATGATGAAGGCGATGTTCAGGTTCCACTGCCGATGTTCGGTAAAGGCTAGACGGTTGGACGACAATTCTACTGTTCTTGGCCATGCCGGTGGCCAACTGAGCAAGAATTGATTGAGAAGCCCTTGCAGCTGAATAGCTGATGCATTCTACCCAAAACCATTTTCTGGAAAAGGAGGTTTGAGGTGTGGATTTTAGTGTTAAAGGAGAAGACTAATCAGAATTGATTTTTCGTTTTTTTTTTTTTTTTATTTTGCCAACATTGAAGGCAAAATTGGGATTATAAAAAATTCAGTTGCAGTATAAATGGCCCTAACATAGTTATTTTTTTCGTAAAAGTGCTGCAAATTGACAAAAACTGCAACAAATTCAGATATATTTTAGTTTTATATCTATATCTTAAACTGCAATGTAGCGAACTGGCACATTGCTGCTTTCTGGTTAATTCGGGAGCGCAATTTGCTGCCTCTGGTTAATTTGGGTGCGTAAATTGCTGTCTTCTGGCTTTTTAAGTTATTTTTTTTAATGAGTTACTTATTAATAACTCTATGTCATTTATGATTGGGACTTGGGAGCCCAAACGTCTTAGCTTAGACTCTTAGCACGCGAAAATAGCGGGACGTATTACACTAATAAATTGCTCCATCTTGAACTCTTAATTACCAATAATACCCTTCCTTAACGCAACAAGAACTTTTTCTTTTTCCTCTACAACTCTTTGTCGAGAGTCTAATCCATCGCCCACCTTTGGGCTTGTGGAGTACAGTCGGACTTGTGAGAGCCCATCTCTACACCACGTGTAGGTCACCTACGAATAAACAAGGAGGACTTTGGTGGGTCATATTCCGTTAACCATCTGATCAATTAATTTGACATCTATCCGGTGGTATCATTGCTTCCTAGTCCCACATTTATTTTTGGAGGTGTTAATTAACAAAATAATAAAATATAAAAAACAATAATAATAATAATAATAATAATAAAATATAAGAATAATAATATTTAAAACTAATATAGTTTAAAAGATATTAAACTATATTATAATAAAATTATAATAATCATAATATAGTTTAATAGTAATAGTAATAATAGGAAATAGGAATAACAAACTATAATAATAATAATAATATTTAAACAATAACAATAATACTAATGATAATAATAATTATATCAATTACATTAATAATAATTGTTGGTATGTAAATTTTGGGCCCATGAAGTGAAGTAGAGCCCAATATGAGATTAAATGAAAAGGATCGATTGGACCGACTAAGAAGAGAGAATGACAAGGATTAAATGGGTTAACGCCTAAACCCAACAGTTAGTGAGATCAAATGAGGGCTTGTCGGACCCATTAAAGATGAAAGGCCTCTTGGTAGGACCCAAAGTATCAGCCCAATTAGCCCAAAAAAACATTGGCGAGTCTAATAGAAAATTCCAATACGAGAAAAAGAAATTTCTTTTTGAATTCAAATCTGTCATGGGGTCATAAATGGGCTAAATCCTAAATTAGGATATATGGAATCTCATTTAAAAGGCAAATAAGGTATCGGCCAACCAATTAAGGAAGTCATGGTTGGTCAATGCACTAAATGATGCATGGACCAATCCCTTTGCCAAGTCCGCATCTTTTTTGGTCAACAAATGGCTGCATCATGGTGGGACTATAGGGGGGCCACCAATCCTTCAGACCAAGGTAGAGTTACTCCACCAGCCCATCAACGAATTAAATGGGATTACTTGCCATGTTGAGTCCATCAACATTGATTAACAAATCAGTCAGTCTAGTGGGCCCAATTGAATGTCAATCTTAGATTATTATCCTTAAATAAGGAAATACAGTTGTCTAATAGATAACTTAACCGAATTTACAAAATCCTTAAAATCTTGAAGTCAAACCTTTGCCAATTACCCGTTTCTCTCACCAATCAAGTTTAATTGCATTAAATCCAAAATCGGTGGAGAGAATCTACTGATGGTTATGTATAGTTAATTTTGTAGGACCCTCGAATTGAATGTCTGATTTTCAAGGAACATGTGGGCGGGCTCTTCAAACAAGGTCCACTGTAATAGGGAATGGGATATTTGCCTTTGGGGATGGTTTTTTTCTCTCATTCGGCTCTCCCCTTTAACCATCGGGTTCGTCTCCCATCGCTGCCCTTTCTTTTGAAAAAAAAGTAGAAGAAATAGGCTGCACTAAGATCAAGGAAGAAAAAAAGAAAAGTTTCAACTCTTCAACTGTCGAAGCATCGAAATTGCTACCATATTAATCCGTCAAATTCCAATTTTTAAATTCCCGTAATTCAAAATGCTTCTGTCAATTCTACAAGCAAGAACATTGTTTCAGCTGTTTACGTTCTAATCATTGATTGAGTGTGAATAAATTTTTGTTCGCATAAGTTTGGGCGTTACTTGTTTCTCCTAATTGTAAGCTCTAGTCACGGTTTCGGATTTCATCCAAGACAATTCAGAGGGTTTGTTTTGCCAAGAAAAAGAAAATTTGTATCCCACTTACATTTCTGCAAAAAAAAAATAATAATTCTTTTAAATTTGTCCACATTAATTTTTGTGCTTCAAATTTAGCACAAAATTTGTGTTTACAATAATAATTTAAAACAATTAAATAATACTATTTAAGACTAATATAGTTTAATATAATAATAAAATCATCATCATAATATAATTTAAACAATATTAAACTATATAATAATAATAATAATAATAGGAATGGCCTATTGAACTACATTAACTTTACTTCCATAGATTATAATGTTTATGATTATTTTCATAAAATATGCAATTGACCTTTTCTTTTGATTCTCTTAAATATGCAATTGTTTCAGCTCTTAATAAAACTAGTTCATCACACGAGTCCCCGCTAACATACATGAAACTAGCTAGTATGAGGAGTGGATGGAATTACTTGATTTGAATTGTTGTTGCTTGAAATAGGAGGGAAATATGAACCGAAAGGGACAGTTTCTGTTTTCTATTTAGAGACAAATCCACTATTTTGAAAATTTAACAAGACAAAAAGACATATATGACTATGACAAGGGAGTTACTAATCCATTTTAAACAGGGAGAGAAGTTTCACTATTTAGGAGAAAATTGCTGAAGGATCACAAATTAATGATGTAATATCTTTTCCGTATCATAGTAATCGAACCCTTTTTTTTAATGCCCCACATGTATATCTCAGCGTGCCTTAAGAACATCTTCCATGCTTATAATTGAGAAATATTTTTAATACACAATTGGAATGTGTTGTAGAGAAATAGGCTTCGACCAATGCAAGGCCCGTTTGAATACTATTTGAACAGCCTTGACAATCATGTATGAAAATATCTTCCTACTTCTGTGCTTTATTTCATGGGGAAATATTTCCAATGCAAGACTATAATAGCTGTTGAAACAGATTCTATACTTGTTGAATCTGGTTTTTGCTGTGGAACGTTTTGAGGGGGCAGATGTGACTTCGTCTATTTAGCACCTCCACATCTTTCTTATCATTGGATACTGATGTGTTTACTTCTTGATCTATGTTTTTAGCCCTGATTTTCGTAACTTCGCTCATTCGTTAATGAATGCAAAGGTACAATGGAAAGGTCACGCTGTTATTTTTGGGAGAATCGATGTCAAATTTACGGACAGGATGCGGATTATATGAGGGAGGCTACTAGGCTGTCGTTCAGAATTCTGCATTGGGTGGGTTGCAGAGTACTTAACCCTTATTTTTTTGAGTGAATTCGTCACAAGTCAAAGACAAAAAGGGAGCAATTTGAATCGAGATAACAGCGTATACACACACAAACCAACATTACTTTATTAGTAGATGGAAAATAACATAAAGGAACAATTTAATGGAGCCAAGCAACAAAGTTGCTGGTGGTGGCTCTATGAGCCACTGACCAAACCATTGTTGTACCTCCTGTCTCCACATATCCAATGACTATCTCACATACAAGATGGATGAATTTATTCTTTTTTTTTTCTTTAATAGCGAGCAGAAAGCATTGAGAAAACGGGGAAAGAACTCCTTCACACAACAATAAAGGCAAACAAATATCGATATATCAAACATTATTTAGAAAAAAATGTTTGGTAAATATCAGATCAATTTCATGAAAATGGAATTCCAATCGTTGATCCAATAAGAAAGGCAGCCAAAGGACCATACTTCTCCAAGATTTGACCAATTTGATTTCTGGCTGGAGGAACAGGAGTGTGAGGATGGGGCACGTTCCAATTAGCATAAGGAGTGTATAAGGTGGGAGGAGGAGGTTGTGGTGGTGGAGCAGGAGGAACGGGAGTGTGAGGATGGGGCACGTTCCAATTAGCATGAGGAGTGTATAAGGTGGGAGGAGGAGGAGGAGGAGGAGGTTGTGGTGGTGGAGCAGGAGGTAGTGACGGTGGAAGAACAAAACCAAGGTGGTTAATTAAGCAGTAGAAATCTACATTGAAATCGCAATTCTCGTTGCAGCGATACCGAAGGCCAGACCTCGACTGGTTACATACATTGCAGAAGAATGGACTGGGTTCGGGCACAAGAAATAGGGAATGGGGATGGAATCTGGGCAGAAATAGCTGATTGACATTCGCCATAGCTATCGCTAGCTAGCTGCCGATCCAAGCCTACCTAGCTAGCCTTGGTGTGTGGCTTATTTGTATGCTTGCGTGTCTATATATACACAATGGGTTCCTAATTAGTTCACTCACTCATTTGATAGCCCATAGGGCTGTTCATAAGAAGATCCGACCCGATCAAATCGATCAATTCGGACCGATCCAATCTGAGTCAGTCGGGTTTTTTTTAGCATCGGGCGGTTTTGGGTTGTAAAAAATCATAAACCGATGAAAATCGAAATCGACCTGAACCATCGGTTTATGATTTTTTACAACCCGAACCGACCGGTGCTAAAGAAAATCCGATTGACTCGGGTTGGGTTAGTCCGAGTTGGTCGGTTTGGTCGGTTTGGGTCTTCTAATGAGTGAGTGAACTAATTAATAGTTACACCTACTTAGTCCCTACTTAAGTAAGTTGTCTCTATCGTAGTTATAGCCTAACTTAATTTCTAATCTTCTAGTTAGGAATGACATTAATGGCAAGTATTGTAAGACAACTAGACAATGAATTTTTTTGGAAAAGTTAAAAAAAAAAAAGAATCAAAGGATCCTAATTTCTAAGGTTTTTTACACCAAATAGACAATCAATTACAATTAGAATTGTATCATTTTTTACTTAAATTAAAAGGTTTCTTGAAATATACAAATTTTAGTCTTTTTTCTCTAATACAGTTTGACTTTCTATTTTCTTGATAACTTCTACTCTAACTTGGTCCACCCCCCTTAACCCCTCAACTCAAGCACAATCTCTAATACAATTTGACTCTCAAGAATCAAAATTTTGAAATTTCAATTTATTACCATGCTTGAACTTAGAGCCGAAACCAACCCAACCCAATTCAAACCGACCAGGTTAGTTTTGCTTAACACAAAGTTGGTTTCGGTTTCAATTTCAAGTAACCCGATCAGGTTAGATTGGTTGGAAAAATCTCAATAAACCAACCCAACCCGACCCGTAAACAGCCCTAATAGCCCATGCCTTAGTTTATCACCTAAGTGATATCGCCTGCTTCTTACGCCATCACTAGCTTGTACTAGATATAGATACAAAACTAGCGGCTCCAATTCTTGACAAACAGGAGGTAGCCCTCACAGCTCGGATCTGTTGTGTATGTCTTGCTACATAATTAATTATTACAAGTGAATACGTAGATTTCATGTTCAAAACATTGAAGTTTTCACTCCTGATTGGTTACATAGCAAGTCATACACCAAGGGGGCCTTTGTTTTTTGGATTTTGAGAGGGGAAAATTAGTCAAATCTTTTTTCTTTTTTAAGATTTATGTGGGGAATAGGAAAAGTTGTCCATCTCCCAAGTAGGAGGGTAAATTATTTTTCCACCCCCGAGGAAAGTTGTCAGCACTTAGATGGCACAAAAATGCCCCTTTTGATAATGAAATCTTTATGGCTAAAATGGTCATTATTTTATTTATCTGAGAAATAAAAGAACATGGATAAATACACTTATCCAAGTAAATGTTTTTTAGGAAACACTTACCCGGGTAAATAACTTAATGAAAAGCAAACCCAGGTAAAAGTGAGATTCAATCCTAAGTCTCCCCCCACCTAGCTAGTTGGTTGGCACTTTCATATCAATTTTTCTTTTAACTAAGGTTGCATTTGGTATAAAACATGTTCTGGGTTGATTAATATAAAATTATTTGAGGCTATTATGATTGAAATAGGCATATCTTAAAAATGCATGTGTGAGAGCCTATTTCTAGAAATTCTTGCTCAGGGGCTAAGTCTAATCATTGTAGCTTAAATAGCGCACACATGTCTCACCAATTTATATGGATCAACCCAAAATGAGTTTTCTTGTTGGCCTATCTTGGCTCATCACATAATTTTAAAAACATCGATATTACCCCTGCTAAAATGCTCATAAATTAATACTAGTATCGCTCATGGCACAGCATATAGAGTATGCAGGGAAGGAAAAGAGAGGAGGTTTAACTTCTTCTCAATGAATTGGATGTACAGCATTTTAATATGTTAACATGAGCTTTTTTTTGGCAAAAAAAAAATTAAGATGGCAAACATCAATTACGTATTTATAATTGACATTTACTATTTTCATGATTAAAATAACTGAATATCTACATTTGTTTTGTCAATTTGGACCATCCAATTATTGCACCCTAAAAGGCAAAACTAAGGAGAAAGTAAGAAACAGGGAAATGGGCACAAAGAAACGATTCAAACAAAGTCGAACGATGAGCTTCCTTCTCTTTCGAGCAATGTCATCCTTCAGTCGGGTCCTTTTCAGCTTGATCGACCTTGTATGTATTAGAAATCATTAGCTTTCTTCTCTTTCGGGTATTGCATAGAGGCAATTACACGGGGCACCCTCCAATATGAGGTCTGGGGAGGGACAAATATATACAGCTTTACCCGTTGCATACATAGAGTGGCTGTTTCCAAGATTTAAGTCCTAGTCACTTGGGTTATAATGGAGCATTTTTGGCTGTTTCCAAGATTTAAGTCCTAGTTACAAAAATGAGTTTCGAGTATTGTTTATAAAATTTTTGGCTCTAACAGTTCTTGAAATTTATAAAAAAAAATCAATTTTATCTGAAAGAATTTAAAAAGCCATTTTTGCCCTTGAATTATGATGGAAAGGCCATTTTAAGGCAAAAACAGACAACATTAAAGATGTCATTGAAAATTATTTAAACAATGAATAAAATAATAGAAACATACTTATGTTACATTGATTAAGCTTGAAAACACCACTTTTGACCCTAAAGTTTAAAAAAAAAAAACATTAGATGTTAAAAAAAAAATCTATTAGTTAAAAAGTGGATTTTGGCTCTGACAACCCTTGAATTTTTCAAAAAAAAAAAAAAAAAACACTTTAGAACTCAAAAAACTAAAAGGGGCCATTTTAACCCTTGAATTATAATGGAAAGGTCTTTTAAGATAAAAACAAACAACGTTAAAGATGCCATTGACAGATTTATTAGACAAAGTATAAACTAATAAAAACATTTTTATGTAGCACTACTCAGGTTTGAAGGCCACTTTTGACCCCTAAAGTTTGAAAAAGCCCATTTTAATAAAATTAGGAAAGTAACCTGCTTCAGGATATATGATGGTACAAAGTTAATTAAGTAAACTAAATAAATTATACTAATTAAAATAATTAAGGAAATTAACCATTTATGTAAATTAAGCAACTGAACAAGTATATTAAATTAATTGGAGAAATTAAGTGAATTAAGTAATATCTAAATAAATAAATTAAGCCAATTAAGCAAAACTTTAAAAATTAACCCAAAAATGGAATCACGTTGGCCACTAGATTTTAAGTCAACCATTCAATCTTCCAATTTGAACGGATCAACCTATGACAATTGAAAAATATTAAAAGATAAAAAATAATTGAAATAAAAAACTTCCTAAAAATAGTTGTTGAAGTCAAACGGATTGATAGTTACCACTAGGCCAATCAACAAGTCATTGAAGGGGTGGCAATTGGGCGGATTGGGTTGGGTTTGGTTTGGGTTGAGTTTCAAACCAATCCATCTAACCCGCCAACTCATTAATGACCCAGTTATATAAAATTAAATGGGTTGGGTTCAACCCAAACCCGCTTTAACCCAATCCAACCCGCCCAAACCCATTAATCTTATTTTTATAGACTTAAAAAATAAACTCTCTCTCTTTTAACAAATAAGTTGGTTGTAGCTTGGTTGTTATTGTAGTTATTATTTACACAAGTGGTGAAGGTTCAAATCGCATTACATGCATGTTATTTTTACACAAGCGGCTAAGCCATCTAATTATGTTCGGATTCCGGGTTTGACCAAACCACTTAGGTTCAAACCGATCAAACCAACTTAAACCACTTAAATTCAAGGGTGGTTGAACCGTTTAGATCTGAATCAATCGGGGTCAGACCGGATCGAACCGGTTCAGTCAATGGTGGATTGACTTGGACCAAACCATATCAGGTTTGTGCATTGGTTTGGGACTAGACCGGCTGACCTGAACCGGGTCAATGTAGCTAAATCGGGTCAGCCCGGATTCGTTTCGGGTCGCGTGGATATTGGTCATATGGACTGTCCAGATCGGGCAAAACACGCAGAGGTCGAAGCATCCCGCCCAAAACCGTTTCGAATTCGGGTCGACCCGGATCGAGTTGTGCCAGGTCAGGTTGGTGTGTGTGTGTGTGAATATTGGTTGGACCGGACGGCCCAACTCGGACAGAGCAAGCGGCACCGAACCATCCTACCCAGGGTCTATTACGGATTCGGGTCGACCCATATCAGTATATGTTGGATCGGGTCGGGCCGCATTGAACTGGTCCGAACTTGGGTCAAATTGATTTGGATTTATGTTGGGTGAAGTGTATTGATTCAATACAAAACTAAATTTAGTCAATTATTAATAGAAAATTAATGCATTAATTATAAATTATTTAATTCAAATGAAGAAAATTAAAAAAAAAAACTAAGGAATTAATACTTATGTCTATAATGGTTAATCCAATGGTTATCCACAACCCAACCCAACCCAACCCATTTAAATGGGTGGGTCGGGCGATGGGTTGATCACACAACCCGCCATGTAAATGAGCAGGTTGGGTTAAAAATTGCCACCCTTATCATTAGCCAATTCAACAGCTTTTGGGCAAAAAGTAGTTTGGGGTAGAAACGGAGCTAGTCTCTTGACCAGCTTTCGAGTCGGGAGGTCCAACCATCCACTTCAATGACGATTTCAAAATCGAAAGTGGTTCAACCATTCGGATCAACGATTTGCTGATTAAGTCTTTTTTTTTTTTAAATTCTAGGCCAAGTATAAAATAGAAATAGATAGTTAACCAGTTCTTAGGTCAAACAATTCAATCGTATAGATTAATGATGATTTTAAAACAATGCAATTAAGTGAATTGATTAAATAAATTAAGCTAAGTAAATAGAGCAATTAAAGAAACTAAGTTAATTAAACTAATAAGTAAATTAAGTGAATTAACTATTTAATCAAGCCATTTAAGTTAAAATAAGTAAATAGAGTAATTAAGTTAAATAAAATAATAAATTACACTAATTAAGAAAATTAATAAATTAAAACAACTATGTAAATTAAACAATTGATTAAATCAATTAAGTAAACTAAGTTATTATTAATTAAGTAAATTAAGATAAGTAAATAAAGTAATTAAAGAAATTAAGTAAATTAGTTTAATTAAGCAAATTGAGTTACTAAGTTAACTATATTAATTTAGTAAATTAATTAAGTTACTATTAGTTAAGTTAATTTAGTGTTAAAGTAATAATTTACTCTTCTTGATTAAGTCAATTAAGTTAATCCTTTTCTTCTTCTATGGTGGATGGTTTCCTTCTCTCTCGTGCATGTAGGCTATCAATCTGAAGCAAGGGCAGAACTAGTTAAAGGTGATTTGGAGAATTATATGCAATACCTGTTTCTACCCTGTTTTCTGTTCAGGGCAAAAGTATTTTCCTCATCCCCATTTAAGATCGGGGAAAACCCATCCAATTCGGGACAGGGCAGAATGAGGCTCCAGTTTTATGGGAAAAGTTGCCATCTCTAGGCAAAGCCAAGTAAATTGGTGGGGGTCCTTGCCCCCCACCCAAACTTTTTTGTTAAAACCATTATTTATATGGTTAGCAAATGGAGGCAGGATCAAATGTAATAAAGTGGGACCTCCTCCCGCAAAAAAAAATGTAAAGTATCATTTTCTCTAACCAACTCCCAAAATTTTAAAAATAACTTTATTTTTTCTTTATAAAAATCTGTAAACCTTCTCATTCTATTTTTCTCTAAACGCTACCTCTTCTACTCCCAATCTCACTCTTTTTTTTTGGCTTGGCTCCCCAGACCACATTAAACCTTTGTGCTTTTTTTCTTTGTTCTTTCTTCTTTCTATGTCCTTGCTTTACTATTTTTCTTTGCTGCTGTTTGACAGGGGGAATTATTTCGTCCTTGAACAAAAGAGGCTTTCGTTAGGGGTGTTAGTTGGACTGGATTTGATCCAATCCGATCCAGTCCAATGTGAGTCCATTATAAATGGACCAGGTTCAATCCAATTCAATGAATGTTTTGGACCAATTTGAATCGATCCAATTCAATGTCTGGACCATCCAGTCTGTTCAAATCCGGTCCATTGATACATGTATTCTTATGTTATATCAATGGACCAGATATTGGCTTAATCCAACCCAATCCAATATGAATTTGTTACGAACGGACCAGGTCATCCTATCCAAAATAATAAATATTTTGAACTGGATTGGTCCATCCAATCCGTCCAAATTGATTTTAGACTGGACTGGGTCCAATCCAAAACCGGTCCATTGACACCCTTAGCTTTCTTAAAGTAAACTATTAGTCCACACATCTTTTCATTCCATCATATCGATCAGATTAATGTATAATGGGCAAGATGGCTCCTCTCACTTTACTATCTAGTAAAATACAAGCAAATAGAAATCAAAATTGGAGATAGGAGTGGACCGGAGTTTTATATATAATCCTAAGAACTTAAATCTCTATAATCCCCACCTCAGTGCCTCACCACCCTTCAATGCAAATTGAGTCGCCACAGATGCATTTCAGCTCAGTTACAACGAACCAAACAGGTAAGGACAACCCTGTTTCAGTTCAGTTGTTATGAATGAGTTTCAGGGAGAAGATGATCTCAATAGAGTGTGTTTTACTTGTGAGATAATGGGGTTTACCATGTTTGATTCGCTGAAGATGAGAAAGACAACCCCACTTTGGTTCCACTTCCACTAGGGGAGATTGAGTTTTAGAGGAGGTTTTAACGGAAGAGAGGGAATATGAATCTTTTACTGTGGTTCCTTTGAATTTAGACAGGATAGATGAGAAAGACAACCCAATAGAATGTTTGTGTCTTTTGATCAAAGAGGGAAGAACAACTCGTGGTTTTGGGAGGAAGGTCAAAATGCATGAATCTTTCCCTCCTCTTTGTAAGTGTTTTGTCTTTTATGCCCTTTGTCTTTTGTGTTATTTCTTATTGTGCTTTGTGCATTTATGGAATTGTTCTTAGCTGCTGTTTTCCTAGCCTCTTGTAGCATGTGAAATACTTTGCCTCACATTGCTTGGAAAAGGATGTAATGTTCATCTAATAATTTTTTTTTCTCTTTTATCAATAAGGACCCATTCAAGGAAGATACATTATATATTGTTTTCACATCCTTCTAGGGGGTGAAGGGGTGCATCAAGCCAAGCTGGAGTCAAGGCGTGGATGTGAGTGTATAAGCTTGCCACACCATATCCTTTTACTTCTTTACCATTTTAAATAATTTTAAATTAAATTTCTTTAGCTAAACAGTTCTATTTATTTTCCATTCTTCCTTGTGTCTCTGCAAACAGATGCTTGATACTCTATTTTATGAGAGAATATCACTCTCTTGGGCTGTTTTGCCCGTCCATTTGGGCGTCTATAATCTCTTTATGAATAGAGGGTTAAACAACCTGATGAGACAATTCTTTGCCCTATTCCGAATATAGTTTCTTCTTTTGTTCTCTCAATCTCAATGTAAACAATTTAAATAGGACAGATGACTAAATGCACATCTAAAAGTCTATGGGCTATTTGATCTTAAAAATTAAACCGCAAGTAAATACAGTTTTAAAGTAATTTCGCAAATTGCACTGGCTTCATCTTTGTCATACTAATAAGTTCCATATTTCTACATTTACTAAGGCATTGACGACATATGAGTAACCATACACATAAGAAAGCCTTATTTTCTATCAAATCAACCAGCTTAAAAATAAAAGGAATAAGAATCCCCACATAATTACATAGGCGGGCTTTATTATTCACTGTTTAAGAATTTACTCCCCCTTTATAAAGTAATGAAAATGAATTCATTAGGAGGAGATTGAGCTTGTCTTTTATGCAAAATGTGAGCTTCTATGAGTTTTCCTTGTATATGTCTGTGAAATCAATGATAATGTTTCATGTCAATAATAAAATACACGGAACCTGCACATTTTACATTCTACAGTGAGATCCATGAATTTATTACTGATGTGAAATATTATTATTGGTTCAACAGACAGTTAAACAGCCATTGCATTCAACTAATCTGAACTATCTTACAAAATGGCATCATGGGCACACATTTAAGTTCATGAAAACAATGCATGAATCACCACTACGCTTCATCTCGGGAAGGAGGTTTAACATGTGGGGTAGCCGTATTTGTGCCATATCCATACCATCCCCTTGCCAAATATCTCAGGTGTGTCTTTGGCCAAGTAGTTGTCTGCTTTGTTCCCCTTTTAGGCTATGTTTGGTTTGAGGGAAAATGTAGGGAAAAGAAGGGAAAGGTAAGGAAATCTATACAAGATTTGTAAAGGTGTCCCTATCTTTCCCTTCCTTTCACTACTTTTTCTTTCAAACCAAACATAGCCTTAAGGTGCCTCCTCCTGTAGATAGCATTGGCTACAATTGTGTTAAGCACATTCAGGTCATATGATCCAATGCCACTAACACCTGGGTTGTCAGGCTTAACATTGGCCCCCGAGGTCATAAGACTTGTCCTGCCACTTAGTGACTTTTTATTTGAATTAGAATAGATGATTGTCAAGGGTGCAAGTCGGACAAGCTGGGCAAAATTTTAGTTCAATCCAGGCCCAACACCAAAAATTGGGCCTAAAGCCTGAGCTCAAGGTCAAGCCCAAACTATCCAATTCGAACTCAGTCACTTGGGTTAAGATTGATCCTGGGCCAGGCAATTATGTCTCTATATATATACATATATACATTTATATAATTAGGCAAAATTCGGATTGGGATAAGACCAGAAAAAAGCCCAAATTTTTAGACCCAACCAAAAATTCAAATCCAATCCATATAAAATTACGAGCTGGAACAATCTCCTAGAATGAAAATTTCATTCCAGCCGATTCTGACTTCTATCTGAATCTAATAGGCAGGAGAATAGACCATTCCAATTCCAGGGGGTTTCAATTTCAATTCTATCAGCAAACCAAACAGTTCTACACTTTACCCACTTAAGCCCAATAAAAAGGAAACTTACAATAACCGGCAATATTAATACAATCATACATCTTCATTCTTGTTCCCGATTTTTCAACAGGATTGGTCATTTAAGATTACTTAACTTTGGAATTAGTGTATTTAAGACAAAATTATGGTGTTTAGGCTCAGTTTGGTAGAAATACAAATATAAATATGTACTGTGCACATACATACAAAATAATATAAAATATAAGATTTTGCATTTTATAAATTTGTATTTGTACTCCTTCCAAACTGAGCCTTAGAGTATTATAGTTATGCTACACATGAAAAATATTGGGCTTTTAAAATGTGTCTTGATGTATATACATGATACATGCATATGTACACAACCCAACCTTTTTCGAGTGAAATTTGGAATAACTCAAACCTTGTTGCACCGATATGATGATGGTATTCCTAAAGAACCATAACTTTGTTTTTTATATATTCAGATACGTGCATATATACAAACTAACCTGATGTCATTACCTTGAAGTTTAAGTTAGGTTTAGCGTTAATGATAGGATTTAACAGTTTAGGTTGGGATAGGGTTGACTTCAATTCTACAACCCTGGGTTAGGATTAGAGTTAATGAATAAATGACAGGATCCCACAACTCAAGTTGGGTTAGGGTTGACTTCAAGTCTAGCTTCAACCCGATATATCTAATCTAGTCCAACTTGCATCTCTTGTCTAAGTTTAATAGAATTCTGAACAAGAATTGTTAAATGAAAGCAAAACGTGTAAGAGAGAATATTGATGAGAATTGTGATAAAGCAGCAATTGGAATAATAAATAGAGTCAAAAAGTGCGCACAGCGCACATAATAAAAACTGCAAAGGGGGGGGGGGGGGGGATGAGTTAAGACTGCTAACGGGTTCCGGAAGTCCGTTGCCTTATAAGATTCGGAATCCAATTATATATCTTAAATTTGGATGTTGGAAATTGCATTTGATTAATAATCGGATGTGATTATTAATGGAGCGTCTTCAGTCTTCGCATTCACATTGTAATAGAGCTTGGACCACCTCATCCATGGTTGGCCTTTTGCTTCTATCCTCCTCCACGCAAGAGATACCTATTTCAATCATTTTCGCTGCTTGTTGCTTGTTGAACTGCCCTTTCAATTCCGGATCCACCATATCCTCAACCCATGAGTCGTCATCGTCATCGCACTCATCAATCTTATTCCTCCCCACCCAAACGAATCTCATCAAATCAGCCTCCTCCTCCCCATCCACCATCACCCAGTCTGAAAGTCGACTGCCCTTTACAATTTCTAGAAGTACAACTCCATAACCATAAACATCAACTTTTGCAGTGATGGGAACGTTTAGAAACCATTCTGGAGCCATGTACCCCTTTGTTCCTCGGATTCTAGAGAACTGGAAACCAGATCCACCCCTTTGAGACAACTTTGCCAGTCCAAAGTCAGCTATTTTAGGTTCAAAATTGTTATCCAAGAGTATATTTTCAGGCTTCACATCACAGTGAATAACCCACTCCAGACACTCATGGTGAAGGTAAGCCAAACCCTTGGCTGTCCCTAAAGCAATTCTAAACCTCTCCTTCCAATTCAGTAAACGAGCTCCTCTATTGCTATTGCTATTGCTATCGCTGGCATTAGAAAAGAGGTGCTTGTTCAGTGACTCATTCTCTACGTACTCATACACCAATAGCCTGTGGGTTCCTTCAGAACAGAACCCCCACATTTTCACTAGGTTCATGTGGTTGACTCTCCCAAACATGCTTACTTCAGCCCAGAACTCTTCTTCTCCTTGAATTACGTCTCCCAGTTTCTTTACTGCTACCACTCTGTCATCCTTCAAAACTCCCTTGTAAACAGTCCCGGAGCCTCCCCTCCCCAACTCTTCCTTAAACACCTCGGTTGCCTTCTTCAGCTCAGCATAAGTGAACTTCCTAAATTGACTGGATATTGCGCGGTATCCGTCCTCCATCGACTTTGACACTCCATCTCCTCTTCTGTAAAGGCCCCACCAACCTGACGCAAGGAAGAGAGCTTCAATAATACCGATTGCATAAACAAAATCGTAGAAATAAGCCCATCTCGTCCTTCTGTTGTTTGTATTGTACATCCGGGAGAAACCCACCACCTGAATTAATGCATCAGCCTTGTTAGATCCACAATCGGGATCAGATGTTATGAGAGTGGGAGTTGCTGCCTTTGCTGATGTTAGATTCAAACTCCTCGGCAGTTTCAAATATGCACTGCCTGGGAAATCTGAAGCGCTATGCCCATTAAAAAGCGCACTTTTTGTATAACAGGTTCCTTCTCCGGTTAACCTATAAACAAAAGCCTCACAGGAGCAGTTCTCCAAGCAGAGTTTCATGCAATGTTCTAGCGACGACGATGGATTATAATCAAGATCAAATCCCCAGAAATCTGTATGTGGCACCTCCACGAATCCGTATTGCTGGGTTTGGTCGCATGTCCGGTTAAACTTGGGCTTGCAACCTTTGTTCCAATCAGACGGGTCAACTATCTCATAACCTGGCGGACATGAACACTTGGGTTTTGGTGTATAAGTACAGACACCGTTCCTACCACACAGCCCATGGACATCGCACGGTCGTGGGAGAGCTTCCCATGTCACCGTCCATGACCTGGTTGACTCATCCAAGCTGTAGAGTCTAAGATTACCATCATAATCCAACGTTAATCGCCTTTTAATCCCAGAACCCATATCAGAGGCAAAAAAGCTGGCTCTATCGCTTGATAGAAAAGCACCCATGTCGTCAAGTAGCGCAATTCTGCTACTGTTGTAATTTGTTCTACCATTCGTGAATACATCAAAATCAGGGTTAGGCCAATATAGGCTAGAAATCTCAGGCCCATCATACGTTAACCTCAAAACGTTGTCGTTGTCGAAATAGAAAGTAAAATAACCCGAAGCATGAGTTCCAATGGCCATTGCAGAGACCATTTTGGTGTGTCTGGTGAGGGGCTGTGAAGGGAGAAGGGTATCAGTAGGAGAGTCAAAGCTTTGCCAAAGAATATTACCAGATGGGTCCTTCAAAACCAGGTTCCCCGTGTTCAAGAGCTCAGCTTTGTCCACCATGGTGCCGGTGGTGTTGGTGGACCAGATAATTGAACCATCGACGTCGGTAAGGACCATGGTGGCATCTCGACGGAGTGAAACTCTGGAGCCTCGGCCGTTCACTGGATGGTCTCGGTTGGCCGTCCACACCACCATCCTTTCTGCGGACTTGGCGAACCAGATTGAGAAACTGTAGGCGTTTGTGCCGACTTGATAAAATCCACAGGCAAAGGTTTCGTCTGGGGAGGTGAGAAGGTCCGAGCCATAATCTTCAACTAACAGAGAAGATCCTTTGTACATGAAATCTTTCTTCGTTACTGAAGAGGCAAGAGAAGAGTATGACAAGATCAGAAAGAAAACAATTGAAACGATGGCAGGAGGAAATCTCATGATTGAACCTCCAGAAAAAAAGTTCAGAAGTTGTCACGGTTTTCGGTTTTAGGAGACGAATTAAGCTGGTGCCTGGTGCAACTATCGATCGGTCCCCTATAATGGGCCTCTTCTGCATATATTGGCAATTAAAGGCATGGAGTCGTTGTTACGGGTCACAATCTCAATCACTATGTCAAACAAAAGTCGCACAGCTTGTGTACATATATGATAAGAATTGTCCCTTGAATTAAGGGATATTCTTCTAGTTTGACAGTTCATGCCAATACTCCCTCTCACGTTGGCGCTTATAAATCTTGGATGCCCAACTTGTCAAGTTAGTTGTAGAAGTTTTTATTGGATACAACTTTTGTAAGTATATCTGTCAGGTGGTCTTCAGACTTGACAAAAGGAAATCGAATGATCTTATCTTCAATATTTTGTTTGATGAAATGTCGGTCCACCTCCACATGCTTTGTTCGATCATGTTGGACCGGATTATGGGAGATATCTTTGGCAGCCTTGTTATCACAGAATAGGTCCACCTCTACATGCTTCGGTCCACTCGAAACATTTGCTTTTAATTGCCTTAAAGAATGGTAGGCAGCAGTCTGCCGACTTGGACATGAAGCAGCTCAGAGCGGCTATTCGGCCATTAAGCTTTTGAACCGCCTTCATCTTTTGGGGTGGTCTCATGTGTAGGATGGCCTCTATTTTATCCGGGTTGGCTTCAATGCCGCGCCGGTTAATGATATACCCCGGGAACTTACCCGAGGTGACACCAAAGGCACACTTATTCGGGTTCAATTTCATGTTAAATCTACGTAGAATTTCGAAAACTGAATTCAAGTCTTGTATTAAATCATGTGAAAACTGGGTTTTGACGACCATGTTGTCTACATAACATTCTATTTTTCGGCCAATTAATGGCTCAAACAATTTATTTACAAGTCTTTGAAAGGTTGCCCCAGCATTCTTTAGCCCAAAGGGCATGACTTTGTAGCAGTACAATCCAAGATCGGTTATGAAGGCGGTCTTTTCTTCATCCGTTGGGTCCATCCTGATCTGGTTGTAGCCCGAATAGGCGTCTAGGAAACTCAGCAACTCATGCCCTGAGGTCGCATCCACCAGTCGGTCGATCCTGGGGAGTGGGAAGCAGTTCTTTGGGCAAGCTCAATTCAGGTCGGTATAATCGACGCACATACGTCATTTACCATTAGCCTTTTTCACCAGAACGGGGTTGGCCACCCAGCTCGGGTAGTGGACTTCTCTTATGAAATTGGCTGCAAGGAGCTTCCCGACCACTTCATCAACCGCTCTCCAGCGTTCTAGGGCTAAGTTGTGTTTCTTCTGTCTAACGGGCCTAACTACAGGATCAGTGTTAAGTCTATGAGTTATGATGCTAGGGTCTATGCCGGGCATTTCTGCCGCAGACCATGCAAAAATATCTAAATTTTCAAGTAGAAAGCGTACCAGTTTAGATCACAGAGGCTCCTCAATGGAAGCGCCGATCTGAAGTGTTCGGGTTGGATCCTCCGCTAAGGCTGGGATGGAGATTGTCTCTTCTGTGGGCGCAGCTCGCTCCTCGCTCTGCTCCATAGGTCGCTCCAGCTCGAGGTCATCGGCCACCTTGGCTTTCCCTTTGAGGGCAGTGACGTAGCATTGGCGAGAGTCAAGTTGGTCACCCCGCACTATCCCGATCCCGATGTCCGTGGGGAACTTCATGGCCAACTAGTAAGTGGACACCACAGCCCGTAAGGCATGGGTAATCGGACGACCTACTATGGCGTTATACAAGGAGGGGTTGCGACCACCAAGAAATCGTGGTTGAGCCTCACTATGCTAGGCCAAGTGCCGACTTCCATAGGTACCGTAATCCTTCCCAGGGGCCTGACTTCCTCTCCGCTGAAGCCTACTAGGGGGATGTTCGCGGGCCTTAGGTCGCTCTCCTGGAGCTGAAGTTGGTTGAAGGCTGCTTTGAAGAGAATGTCCGTTGAGCTGCCTGAGTCGACGAGGACACGCCTAACTTCGAAGTCATTGATCTTCACATTTATGACGAGCGCGTCATCATGGGGGTAGTGGACCCCGCATGTGTCGTCTTTTGTGAAGAGGATGGGGGCTTCCATCCTTGGCCGCTTCGGGGGGTTCTGCTCTTCCCTGGCGGCCTTGCGAGCTGATGCACGAGCTGTAGCTGAGGTGCAGCCCGCCACAATCGAACCTCCAACTATGACATGGATGGTCCCCCGAACTGGTCTCTCTTCGGGGGGCTGCTTCTGCAGCTGTTCCTCTGGCCTGCTGGACTCGGGAGCGTCCCTACTCTGCTCCCCTTGCCGACCTGTTTTATTACTATTATTATTACTTTGTACAAAATTTCTCAGATATCCGCAACCGATGAGTTCTTCTATCTCATCGCAGAGGTTCTTACAATTTTCGGTGCTATGACCGTGATCTTTACGAAAGTTACAATACAAATTTTTATTTCTAGCATTAGGGTCGGCCTTCAGCCGAGGTGGCCACTTCACGTACGGAGCATCCTTGATTGCCATGAGGATCTCGGCCCGCTTTGTGTTGAGGGGCGTGTAGTCCCTTTCTGCAGCCGGAGTTCGGGAGGGCTGAACCGGCCTCACCCCCTGAGCTGGGTCCTTCTTCCTGCTGTCGCCCTGAGATGGGGGGTCTGGTTCCCTCTTTCTTTTCTCAAGGGCCTGCTCGCCCTTCTGGCTGATTTCTTCCTCCGTCCCTATGAATAGATCCGCGAGCTTGAGGAACTCGGTCACGGTTTTGGGCTGGTTGACAACTACGTGCCACTTGAACTCTTTGTGGGTGATACCTCGCTTGGCTACGGTGAGGCAAACTGCAGGATCCAGGTCGGGTATCTGCAGACAAGCGTCGTTGAACCGTTTGACGTAGCTCCGAATGGACTCCCCTTCCTTTTGAACTATGCCGAGGAGGCTTTCCTGAGTTCTCGGGCACCTCTTGCTAGTGACAAAGTGGGAGGTGAAAACTTGCACGAACTGCGTCCAGCTTCTTATCAAACCAAGAGCGAGGTTTCAATATCAGGTGCGGGATACCCCTTTGAAGGTGGTTGAAAAGGCCACACACATGCAGGACTCGCTGGCTCTTGCCAGGTGCATCTGGGACTGGAAGGCGTCCACATGATCATTCGGATCGAAGGATCTGTCATACTTGTCCAGTGGAGGGAATTTGAAGTTCCTTGGCATGGGGACAGCAAGGAGTTCTAGGGATAACGGGGAAGAAACCGAGAGGAGAGGGGTAGCTTTCACTTCTCTTGAGCTTACCTCCTCTTTTCCTTTGAGCTCGAGAGAGGCTCGAGTAGCAGTTCGGCGAGTTTTCCGGCGTCTTCGCTGCCGCTTTGTTGGCTTGGCGTTGGAGCTTGATGCTTTAGTGTCGCCGAGCTCGATGGGCTCGGACTACTGGTGGTGGTGGTTTTGAACCGAAGGGCCCTGCCTATAGCCTGCGGCTAGGACCTCAAATGGGTTCTCTGCGAGAGGGAGCTCGAACTGCGAGTGCTGGGGCGATGCAGGCTTGGTTGGCTGGGAGGCCCCCGACCTACCCACAGGCTGTGAGGTGGGGTTGGTCGGCCTCTCCTTCCTACTATGGAAAGAGGCTTGGCTCTTGGCGGGATCCTGGGCCTGGGAGGCCTCTCCTCGGCAGGGTCGTTCGCTCTTGCAGGAGGGCTTGGTCTGTTTCATGGCCGGGTGCCGAGGGGGAAGCGGCGGCTGGGCCTGAGGCAAGGAGGGGAACTGCTGCTGGTACTGGTACTAGGAGACCTGGTGCAGCACTTGTTGTTGGTAGAGTTGGAACTACTGAAATTGTTGCATTTGGGCATGCATGGCTTGCATGCATTGCATTAAATCTTCCAACTAGTTCGGGTTGGCCACTGGGGGCACAACCGAGGGTTCAACAAAGGTTGCTCCAATCGTAGAAGGGAGTGGGGCGATCACGGGTGCCACTGTGAGAGGCACGTTCAGACTGGGAACTCCGTCCACGGAGAGGGGGACGGTGAACTGTCCAATACAGACAGTGGGTAGTTAGGGTTGCTCCCCAGGAGCGTTTTGACTGGCACCACGTCCGGCGTTGCTGGAGGAGGCCATGAATGTTGAGTTTCGAAAAGGAACTGTAAAAGCTTAGAGGAAGGCCTTTTGAAGTGTTTCCCACAGACGGCGCCAAATGATGTTGCGCAATTCGGGCACTCCTAGCTGGCGGACAGCTGGCCCCTAGTTGGCGACGAACGGTACCTGAGAAGAAGACGGTGAAGGATTCCCGAGGGCTTACCCAGTGGGAATACTCCGATGCTTAAGTTAGAACGCTTCTGAGAGAGGTGAAGATTGCAAATAAAGCTTAGAGTGCAAGAAGCGCGGGATCAAAAGATTACCTCTACCATTTGAGGGTTGGGGCCCTTTTATAACGGAACTCTGTCAAATCAGGCGCAACCGCCTCTACCAGGTCAGCCATAACCGCCACTGTCCATCTGTTGCGGCCGTTACTGTCAGGGCTGAGGTGGCAGACGCAGACCATCACTGCAAGGTACGTACTTGTCAGATGTAAGACACCTTTCAGAAGTGGCAAGCATGACGCCGCCTAACGAGAGACGTGGGTGCAACCTTCAGATTCGACACGTGCTATGCCAGGCAGATATTTTCTGGACCACCGGGCTATCTAGAGCCGAACTGCACTGTGTCGAGGTGTTGGCAATGCGTCGAGCTGCTTTCTAGTTGAGGTGTACCCTTAGCAGTTGGGAGAGCCAATGGTGTCGTCCCGAGGTGTTTCTACCTCAGGACGCCTAAGTGCGAATCAGGGTGTTCCCTTCCCAGGAAGGACTTAGAGCTAACTGGGAGGAGCTCGGGTCCTTTGCTAGACTCGGGGTAAGCTGGGAGCTAACTCCCGGCGAGTTGCCTAACTCGCCGAGTTGCCAGGTTGGACTCGACGGGTTCTTCCCGCCGAATTACAATTATGTTGTGCTGAATCATCACTTAAGCCAAGTCACGTCCACGTGTCCCTGTGCTACGAGGTCGGTCAAATCACCCTCCATCAATATATATATTTAAAACGACTTGACTTTGATAAACAAAATTTCCTCTATCCAAAAAAAGAAGTTATTTCTTCAAGATTCCTTTACATACTAATTTCTCATTATTTGATGTGAAATATATATATATATATATATATATATAAGTTAAAACGAC